ATATTTATAGACTCTTTACTTAAAAAAACATAGTATATGATAGAAAATCAGACAAGTCAGGTATTTTAGGATGAGCTGAAGTGGAATGCCCACAGAGAGAGATAAAAGGAAGAAGCCCTCCAGAGGTACCAGGAAATACCACATCAGTGTCCATATAATATGGCCACTTGAGAAATGTGAATACTGAAGAGAAAAGTCTGACACCCAGCCTAGGAAAGAGCTGACACCTTCTGCACAACTGTGCCAGGAAGCTACAAATCCAAGAGAAAAAATGTCCAAAGGACCACAGATTTTTGAAGTTACAGCAAAGGACCAGTGTTAGATGGAATGACCAGACACACAGGTCTTTTCAGTACATAGCATGTGTTGGAAAGTTCACAGTTTTGATACTTAAACTCTACTACCCACTCCTCTTCCCTTCTTGGGTGTAGACAAAGAGAATACATGCACAAGGAATAGTAGGCAAGTGGGAAACAAAGTTGAGCTGAAAATGTCAAGAGAGTTGAAATGTTGTTTAGAGACTTAAGGCTTTCTGCTCCCTATAGGAGGCATGGCTTCCTCCCCATCCTCCATTCCCCTCCCCAACAGATGGAGACAGAGACTCCAGGGAATTTTACTGCCTGGATTCAAAAGAAGAGAGAAACCATTTAGAGTCTGGATTTTGTGTGTAAAGCACTAGAATCCCCCTAACTTGTGTAATGAGCTTCAGTAAACGTACAAGATGAGTAAGTCTTCCCATCTGAGTGAACTTGGATGAGAGTGAAAGGCCAGGAGGCAGAAGAGTTTCCTCCCCCATGGGCAGAGAGAATCATGAGGAAGGACCTAAATGTTGCTTTCACCACCAGCTGCCTTATTAATCCCCATCAGTTGCATCATACTTGAAACTGTCTGAGAGAAAGAGAAAGAGATTGTGCCTTCGAGAAAGTCCTGTTGCCCCAGGTTGGTGTGTGTGTGTGTGTGTGTGTGTGTGTATAGTCCTAGACTATGGATCCATATATGATATATATGATCCTAGACTATGATAAAAGAACAAAGGTAATTAAAATTGTAATGATGAGTTAATAAGATTGTCACTAACAAGGAAGATGTTCAGAACAAATCAAATAAAGCTTCCCCACGTCGACTTACCATGACATCCAAGGAGGCTCTAGGAAAACAGTGGTTAGCCAAGCCTGGTTTGAAAACCAGTAGCTTACCATTTCTCTGGGTCTCAGTTTTCTTATCTATATAATAAATGGAAACCTTTTACTTCAGAGTAGAGTGTTGTACATTGTGACAGGCCAACATTCAACTGAAACAACTAGGGAGAAAAGCAAATAAATTGCAAAAATAAAATTTTTAAAGAAATCAGAGAGGCACATGGATGGCTTAGTCAGTTAAGTGTCTGACTCTTGATCTCAGCTCAGGTCTTGATCTCAGGGTCATGAGTTCAAGCCCTTCATTGGGCTCCACACCAGGTGTGGAGCCTACTTAAAAAAAAGAAAAACAAATCAGAGACCAGTGAAAGCAATGAGAACAACATAAATAAATTTCCAGAGAAGGAAGGACCCTTCCTAGGTATACTGAGTAACACAAGGTCTGTTCTTCAAGGCGGTTGAGGGGGAGGGGAAGAACTTGCTGATTTTGGGTGGGGACTAAGGACGTGGCTTGGTCCAAGAAGAGCAGACTGGACACAGTTTGCAGGATTAGTGAGACATAAAGGGGAAAAAAGAATGGAGAGAACAGAAGAAAGTGTGAGAGACACAGGGGAAATTGTAAAAAAAATCCAATGTATGTGTAACTGCAGTTCTAAAAGAGGGAGATTGGGCAGACACAGTATTTGAAGGGATAATGGCTGAAAAGTTCCCATAACTGCCGAAAGATATCAGTTGCAGCCTAAAGAAGCTCACCAAACCCCAAACAAAAAATACAAAGAAAACCATGCTTTGGCATATCCTAGTCAAACTGTTGAAAACCAGAAATGAAGGGAAAATCTTACAATAACCAGAGAAAAAAGACATTACCTTAAAATAAGCAAGTAATTGACATTTCCCCTGTTACTAGGAATGCCAACAGACAATGGAATAACATCTTTGAAGTGCTGAAATTTAGGGGAGAGACGAGGTAATCTCAATAGTCTTATTCCTCTATTCCTGTTAAAGAACTGATCACCAACCTGTTCAAAATTACTATGAGTATATTTGGGGATTTCCTGTGTGGAGTTTTTTAGACCCTTACTAAATGTATGTGCTTATTTGATCTCCAGATCTTTCCTAAAATCGCATGTATGTATGTGTTTTTAAGTAATCTCTATGCCCAGTGTGGGGCTGCACTCACAACCCTGAGATCAAGAGCCACATGCTTGGGGTGCCTGGGTGACTCAGTTAAGCGTCTGCCTTCTGCTCAGGTCGTGATCTCAGGGTCCTGGGATTGAGCCCCGAGTCAGGGTCTCTGCTTAGCAGGGAGTCTGCTTCTCCCCCACACAAATAAATAAATAAATAAATAAATAAATAAATAAATAAATAAATAAAATCTTAAAAAAAAAAATTTGCGTGCTTTACCAACTGAGCCAGCCAGGCGCCCCATAAAATCACATTTAAAACTCATTGTAAATCAAGGAAAGTAGTACATAATTTGGATAGATAGACCATGTTCTAAAGTAAAATATAAATATTTGAAGGTAGAATAAATAAAAGATTCTATAAAAAGGAAACCACAATATAATGGTCTGATCCATGTTTAGTGTCAGTTAAGGTGCTAGAAGGAATAGCGATTTAGAATTCCCTGCTACTTGAAATGTGGCCTTGACACCAAAAGCACAAGCCACAAAAGAAAAAACTGATAAACGGGACTTCATCAGAATTACAAACTTTGTTGCAAAGTCCGCCATCAAGAAAATGAAAAGACAACCCACAGCAAATTATATATCTGATAAGGGACTTGTATCTAGAATATAGAAAGAACTCTTATCAGTCAATAGTAAAGAGAGAGAACTCAATTTAAAAGGGGGCAAAGGATCCGAATAGACAGTTCCTTAGAGAAGACACACAAATGGCCAATAGCCCCATGAAAAGATACCCAACATCAGGAGCCACCAGGGAAATGCAAACCAAAATCACAATGAGATACCACTTCACACCCACTAATATGGCTGCAAAAAAAGGACAAGGTCAAGCATGTGAAGAAATTGGAATCCCCACACTCTGCTGGTGGGAATGTAAAATGGTGCAACAAATGATAGTTACAGAGATGATGGTGATAATGGTGATGGGGATGATGATGTCTTACCAGGTTCTGGCCTATTCATCGATGTTACAAAGTGGTTCTATGAATTTTGGCAGTTTTGTGGACACTTTTACTCAACCTAATGATACGTCAATAACCAGGGATTCAACGATACCTTCCTATGAAAATTACTAGGGAATTCTTTTTTTTTTTTTAAGATTTTATTATTTGAGAGAGAGAAAGAGAGAGGACGAGCGGTGGGGGGTGGAAGGGGCGAGGGGCAGAGGGAGAAGCAGGCTCCCCGCTGAACAGTTAGCCCGGACGGATGGACGTGGGGCTTGATCCCAGAACCCCCAGATCATCACCTGAGCCGAAGGCAGACGCTTAACCAACTGAGCCACCAGGCGCCCAATGTGACTGATATTGGACAGGACTTTAGTTTTTGTCTTTTGGGTATTTTGAGAGGAGACTGATGTGCGGCCAGGGTTGAGAGCAGCTGAGTCAGGTCGACGTGCCCAGGGTTCAGCAGGACTACTGCTGAGGGCTAGCTACCCCTGAGGTGGAACGGGAGGATCGCCACAGGAGTCAGACCTGGGTAGTTAGTCCCAGCTCGTCCCTCGTGGTGACTCTGTGCTTTGAGCAACGTCACCTCTAGGAGCTTCAGTTTCTTCACCTGTAAAATGGGGCTAAGCACCCTCCTGTGCAGGGATGTTGGGAGGAGCACATGAGCTCATACATGTAACACTACAGAGCGGACGTCTGGCACATTTTTGGTCCTCTTTAAATCGTGGTCACTTTCTTCCCTTACCTTCTCTGAACGAGATAGTCATGTCATGTCTTTCCTAACTCAGCTCTTCTTCTATAAAATGTAGGAGTTTGTTAAAAGTCACCCAGGGGTTTTCTAGGTTTAAAATTTATCCTTCCTTCCCATACCCTTCATCTCCTTTTGTCCCTCATCTATGTTCTTGATCCCATTGTGCTTATGGGAAACATTGTTCTTCTGATACCTGACAGAGTGAAGACTCATTATACACTTGAATGAGGTGATACCAAACCATGGATAGCCACGCCCAGTTTAGCTTGAGTTGTCTATCATTAATAATTACACTGATCATTATAATAAATCAGAGGATTGATAATAAGGGTTAAATTAAATGTTTTTAAATTGCCAAATAGAGTTCTCAGCCTTAGCTGTGGTTGGTGTCTGGTGGATTTGGAATAGTTCCTTGGGTCTTGGGTGAAAAAGAGATAATCTGCTCTTGGTTTATAAATTTTTATGGTTTTACTCTTTACCCTAAAAAGGCCTATTAGTAACATTCATAGGTGAGTCTACAACACAGATGGACTCCAGGACAATCTGACATATACCTCCTGCTCCATGGCCTGGAAAGGAGTTACAGCCTCCCCTTCCTTGGAAATGTGGCCACGCCAAGCCGTCCATACCAGCTGGACAGAGTAGTTCTTGAGACGGTGCTGGAGTTGGAAGGTGTAGAGCAGAACTCCTCACGTTTGAATATGAAAGTGCATCACCTGGCTGTCTGTTCAAATGTAGATGTTGTTCAGTAGGTCTGGGGTGGGGCCTGATACTCTGCATTTCCTACAGGCTCTCAGGTGGTGTTAATGGCAAGGGCATGCAAGACATCTCTTCTTCTGTCTGCCCAGCACTTTCCCTCCTTCCTCCAGGGAAATGTGCCTTCCTTCATTCCAACCATGAAGTTCAAGGTTGAACTTCCACATTTTTACATTACTGTACCCCCCCACCCCCCACCCCCACCCCCACCCCGGGCATGGTCAGTTGGTCCAGGAGACAATCAGAATCTTTCCTGACATGTTTGGACTTGAAGCCAGAGTGAGCCAGTCGCGAATCCTCCCTGCGGAGCTCTTTCTAGCCTCCTGGAGGTAATGGGGGAAAGAAGCAGACATGAGCAGAGTGTTTCTGTTGTTCTCCAGTCTGGCTTCCAACTTCCCCTAATGTATGAAAAGGGATTTAAAAATAAACAAGACTGTGGCTTGCCAACTCCAATGAGGTGTATCGGCCACTTACTGTGTGTGGGTCTCTGTTGAACATACAGAGAGGAACGTAACACGCCCTGGTGGGGGAGACCACACATTTCCATAGTTTGGCGCGTGCAATGCCAAGGGGTATGGAAGCCACTGGAAGAGGTGCCTGATCCACCCAGATGTGTGGATGGGGTGGGGGGGTCAGGTTCATAAAAGTTTTTTAGGGGCACCTGGGTGGCTCAGTGGTTAAGCATCTAACTCTTGGTTTTGGCTAAGGTCATGATCTCAGGGTCCTGGGATCGAGCCCCTTGTCAGCTCTGTGCTCAGCGGGTAGTCTGCTTGAGGATTCTCTCTCCCTCTCCCTCTCTCCCCCTCCCCCCCATGCTCTTGTGCTCTCTCCCTCTCTCTAAAATAAATAAATCTTTTATTTTTTTTAAAGCTGTAAAAGTTTTCTAGAAATGGATTTTCAAAAAGTGAGCAGGAATTGTGTCGGGAGGCCAATTGTGTGAAGTCGTTCCAGGCAGAGGGTCTTTGCTGAGCAAACATGACGGTATGAAACCGTGCTAGAAACACTACAGTGAGTTTAAGTGGGAGGTGCGGGCGGTCCCTGAGGCAGTGACAGTGCAAGGCCTTTTCTCTGTGCTGCATTCGGTCCCTTTCTTCTTAAGTCGCATGTGTTTAAACAATAACAAAGCAATCACAAACAACAAGCCCGACTCTCTGATCCCCCCGTAAATGCATGATTGTCTGGCAGGTTCCCACCAACCACCACTCCCCTTTCTCTTTGGACAAACAGAAAATTTGTCTTAGGATCGGAATGCATGTTTAAAAAACAAGCCTGATCTGCTTTAAATACCAAAATCTGCTTCAATAACAGAGGTTGTGACATCCGCTGACAAAGCCAGGAAGTTCAAAGGCCCATTGGCCGGCACGATGTATTGAGCTCTGCTGTTGTTGGCATCCCTCAGCCCGCGGCTGGTCCTGGTGTTTGTTGTTCAGATCTGTGTGTGTGACCGAGACATTCCTCAGACCACAGGACTCTTTCTTCTGGAGGGGAAAATTTGTATTTTTAAACATGCTTTCTGAAAGCAAGAACAACAGTTGCTAGTAAGGGCTGCTACTGAAGTCTCTTGAATGGCAAGTTCTAGGAGTAACTCAAAGTCTATTTCTTGAGCACATTTTAGCCATTTTAAAGGCTTGAAAAAAAAAAGTTTACACATTTATTAACATTCATCACCAGAACTTTTTCATCATCCGAAGCTGAAACTCTGTCCCCATTCACACTAACTCCCCACGCCCAATTCCCCCCAAGTCCTGGTAACTTCCATTCTACTTTCTGTCTCTACGAATGTGATGACTCTAGGTACCTAATATAAGTGGAATCCTACAACACTTGTCTTTCTGTATCTGGCTTATTTCACTAGTATCATGTCTTTCAGGTTCATCCATGCTGTAGCATGGGTCTGAATTGCCTTCCTCTTAAAGGCTGAATAATTATGTATGTACCACATTTTGCTGATCCATTCATCCATTGATGCATACTTGGGTTGCTTCCAAATCTGGGCTATTGTGAATAATACTGCTACGAACTCGGGTGTACAAATATCTGTTTGAGTTCCTGCTTTCAGTGGATTCTTGTTTTCCAAAAAAGCCACATGGAGGGGCACCTGGCTGGCTCAATCGGTAGAGCATGCGACTCTTGGTCTCAGGGTTGTGAGTTTGAGCCCCATGTTGGGTGTAGAGATTACTTAAAAAATAAAATCTTAAAAAAAAAAAAAAAAAAAGCTGTATGGAGCTGGTGTGGGCCCTTTCTTGAGTTTCTGGCTGTGAGAGGGCGCTGACCTGTTGTGAGGGTCCCAGGCCCCTGGAGCCTCCATCTCTCGCTCACAGTTCCCCCACCTGTGATCTCGGGGAGCCCCTTCCCCCCTCTCAGGTCCTGCCCCTAGGTGACCACGCGTAGGACACTCTGCACCCAGCCATGCACCCTCAGCTACTCCTGGCTTCTGTGTGTTCCTCAGTGGAACTGTAAGTGGACTGGACCTTTGGCATGAGCAGGTATATCATTCCCACTTTTGAGTGTCCTTGAGCAGCCTGTGGCGTATAGAAATTTTCCACTTCACGGGGCGCCTGGGTGGCTCAGTTGGTTGAGCGACTGCCTTCAGCTCGGGTCATGATCCTGGAGTCCCGGGATCGAGTCCCGCATCAGGCTCCCTGCTCAGCGGGGAGCCTGCTTCTCCCTCTGACCCTCCTCCCTCTCATGCTCTCTGTCTCTCATTCTCTCTGTCTCAAATAAATAAATAAAATCTTAAAAAAAAAAAAAGAAAGAAATTTTCCACTTCGCTGAGGGATGAATTTGAACCTCACACATGGTGAGGTTGATGTGTGGGTGCAAGTCGCTTAGTGGGCAAGTCAGGCTGGCCGACTGCCCAGGGTCTGCCTCTTAGTGAGGTGTCGTTGGCCGCTACTCTTCCCATCTTCGGCAGTGACTTTTGTGAAGTGGTAGAACTTTGATGAGTGTGTGTGTGTGTGTGTGTGTGAGAGAGAGAGAGAGAGAGAGAGAGAAAACGCCTCCAGTGCTGACTGCTAGGGCTGGCAATGGAAGCAAAAGGAAATAGGGAAGCCTCAGAAACTCATGGTTCTTACTGAAGAGATCACGGGGTGGTCTCTTGAGCTCCACAGTGGCTCCGTAGTGTAGACAACCTCACCATACATTCATTACAGAAATAAGACCTACCTCTTTGTGACATTTTAGTGAGTGTCTCAGCCAGCCGAAAAGGTGCTCATTGAGAGATAAAACTTTAGAGAAGTCTGAAAAAGTGCCCTGGGAGAAAGGCAGGAGACTGTACAAACATTTCCAGGAAGCAGCACATGGCCGAGGCTCCAGTGTGGCTACTCAACCAATGTGAGTTTAAGTAAGGGCTGGTTTGGAAGTTTTAAGATGTGTTTTTCTTGGCAAAAGTTGCGGTTAATAGGAATAAACAGGCCGGTTGTCTGTCTCACGGCAGATGGGACTCCTCCTGAGCTAGAGAGGTGCTCGGAGGAAGGGAGGCATGCGTCCCAGGCTGTGAGGACTGCAGGCCGTGTGGGAGGTGGCGGCCTCCCATGCTAGATGGAAAGCCGTGTGAGAGACGCAATCAGAGAATAAGGGACGAAGCCCACCAGAGAAGGCCGTGAAGAGCTGGTGAAAAGGGGCGGAGGGCCTGAAGACAATGATGAAGAATGAGGAGAGGCCACTTGGGCCCTTCATAAATGTAGGGAGATGTTCTGTTAATGCCAAGCTGCCAACACCACAGCCATCCATCAGTACAACAGAGCCTGTTTCAGCGGTTCTAAGAAATCCCCATTGGCTCCATCCCAGGAAATACCCAAGAAGTGGCAAAAATAAAGAGGGATTAACAAGCTGAGTTTTGGTTAAGACTAAGGAAGGAAAAAAAAAAGAAAGAGAAAATGACAGTAAAAGTAAGAATAAAAGGGAAGGTAATAAAAGTGGGCACAAATGAGAAAAAAAGTTTTTTTCCAAATAGCGAAATGTTAATGAGTTGGAAAACCTAGACGAAACACATTTTTGGAAAAAGGGAAAATGACAAACTTGAATCGGGGAGAAAGAGAAGATTTGATTAGGACGGTGGCCGTTAAAGGCCAGTCCCAACTAGAAGGCCAAGGACCAAAGACGTTCAAGTCAGAGTTAACGTCCTCAGTAAAGATCACCTTCATCCTTTATAGGAAGGTAAGCAGGGAAGCCGAAGCACTAACTTATGTGGTCAGTATAACCTTGTTTCCAAAACCAGACAGTTGCGTGGCAAGCTAATAAAATTTTAGGCCCCCTCTAGTTATGACCATAGATGCAAAGTCCTAAGTATAATGTTAAGTGAAACAAGGGGAGGGTAGGAGATCCGCTGCCATTCATCCTGCTCCCCTCCCCCCAGCACTGACAAACCTGTCTCCCCTTGGTCTGCGGGTTCTGCTTTACAGCTGTCTCACTGACCTGGTTGCCACCTCATTTTTGTTTCTGAAGACAACACAGTTCTGTTTTGTTGTCAGGGTTTTTGCTGGAAATCCATAAAAGAAGCAGAGAGGGACCTCAAGTGGGTAAATTACACAGGTTCTGAAACCTCGCAGAGTTTCTGTACTGAACATTCCTGGTTTATATTTCCAAACTTCTTTTTGAGATGGTAAGTGAATGAGGATGAGATTCATGTAACCATTCTCCTTCCTTCTGGCCACCTGCTTGCTGCCTGGTTCCCAGTTTGGAGACCTGAAGAGGCCTCCAGGACAGCATGATGGCTTTTCACATTTCCCAGGGTGTCCAGACTGAGCGACCCATCCCACGACAGCCTGCTTCTGCTTCCCATTGCAAGAAAGCAAGTCCGTAGGCTCACCTTCCCAATGGAAGCTGTCTTGGATTTTAGAATACAGAATTCTGGGAAAAAACATCTTTTCCTGAGCAGGCTTTCCAACTGATAACAAAGTTGGGTCTTTGGTTCACCCACACTCTCTGTGCTACCTGTTCAGTGAGACTGTAGGAGCGTGAGTCCCATTACTGCCATTCGTAAGAGACTTTTCTGTCATTTCTAGCTTTGAGAGATGTGGGGGTAACCTCTTCCCTCTCTTTTGGCCTCTAGGTATTTGCAAATATTTTTTTTAAGTTTATTTTTTTTAGTAATCTCTGCACCCAACATGGGGCTCCAACTCTACCCTGAGATCAAGAGTCATACGCTCTGCCAACTGATCCAGCCAGGTGCCCCTGCAAATAATTAATGATTTCATTGTTCCCTCCCCCAGGAAACACCTGGTTTCTTAAAACTTGTATCATGGGCCAGAAAGATGGGGCATTAGGACAGGGCGAGAGATGGTGCTGTGGGCAAAGGCAGGGTGACATCCTCTTATCTGGAGGATGTGGGAACAGATAAATGAGCACAACTGGCCTTGGGGATTATTTCTGCACATTGAGACAAGATGGAAATGCATATTCTTACTAGCTCCCTGCCCTGGAGAGAGTTGGGTGAGATGTTGGCTATGTGCCTCCTCTTTTGGAGAGTTGGGAAGTTAAATGTTTCTTTGAAGATTCTCACCTCCCAAATAGACTAGGACTTAGCATTTTTTCCACCAAACACTTACCTCAGAGGGAGCACTAAATACAGCAGCCTAGCAAGTGTGTGAGGGAAAGGACGTAAAATAGAAACGGGTGATGTCTGGGATCTGAACTAACATGAACTCAGCTTGTAAACAAGGACTCTGGAGAAGATTACCCAAGTCCTGCTGGTCTGATGGCCTTTTGTTGAAATTATTTCTGTAGGTCATCACGGCTGGCTCGTCAGTATTGCTGTTTGATACGACCCTGACCAGTGCAACGGTGGGATGGTAAGTCTTCTGCACAGAGAGAGGAAAAACAAATTCATTGTTTGGGTTTCATCAGGATACTAATTTCTTTCTCTCAAATGTTGAAGAAAGGGTGTTTGGGGTCTATATTTTATTGACCTGTAAATATACATTCCAAGGAGTACATATATTATGAATATGCAGTTTTATGAATTTTCACAAACTGATTATCCCGAACCTACTATAGCCAGCACCCAGATCAAGAAACAGAACATCACCCGCATACCTGTCAGCCACTCGTCCACAGAAGCGTAAGCACTACGGGTGAACCACTGGTTTTATATAGTTATTTTTCCAAGATTTTATAGCTACTGTGTTTGGACGAGGATTCAAAAGCAGACCTGTGTGTGTCCAAAGTCCCATAACCTTCATGTACCTCCTTAGGACTGACTAGGCAAACACCAAGGATTTACCAGCAGTGGAGGTATAAGAGAAATTGGCCTATATGTTCCTCTTCTCACCAGTATGACCATCTATAAAGAACTTCTAGATAATTCGACAGCAACACAGAAGGAGCGTTACCCAGGACAAGACAGCTCTATTTCTTGTTCAAGGGCTGACATGGTGAACTAAGAATGTCCAGTGAAATGATGATAGGAAAAAGATCTCATTGTCTTAGGTTTTTTAATACTATATAATTCTATCAGTTAGCTAAAAATATTTATTGAGTGACTACTGCATGCAAAATAAGACATCATTCAGCCCTCAAGGAGGGGAAGAGGCAGGGAAATCATAAAGATAATTTATGGGATAAGATAGCCATGGTCTGAATGCACAGCGAATGCGAGGGCCGAAGGAAGGAGAGAGGACGGGCCATCAGGAGGGCTATCGAACTGGCTTGACCCGGACCTTACACAGAACAGAGAGGCTTAGTGCGGCTGTGGGTGGAAGAGGATTTGGGCCCTCTGGCCCCGGGAAGACAGGGAAGGCTGGAGAGGCAGGAGGTGCCCATGGTGAGAGTCAGTGATTTGGAACCAGAGCTGGGGCTGTGGGGCAGGGAGCTAATCCTCTGCTCCCTCCTTCTTCCCCTGCACCTGTCCTTCTAGGAAGGCCTGACACCCACAGCGGGCAGGTGACGTCCAGACACCCAACTGCCAAGATATCCTGCTACATTCTTAACACTCTTCCCCAAATGTCTGTATTCTCACCTTCATGGTGGTAGTCTAGATTCTTGACGGTGGTTTTCTTTCTCACAGATGAACCTCCAACAACTCTGTTTTGTACAGAATTTCAGAATGAACTTTAAGAACCCAGGTGTGGAAGTGAGTGTGAGAACTAGCGGAGTCAGATGGCTCTCCGGCAGGGGGGAAATGCTCAGCCCGAGTATCTCAGCAGCAGTCTGTAAGAGGCCAAGCCTCCAGGCTCTTTCACATCCTGTGAGCTTTATGGTATGCCCTGCACAAAATGGAAAGAAAGGCTGTGTGTACTCAAATCAAGGAAACAGCATGTGTGATTATTGCAAAAGGAACCTTGACTTTGGAATTTCCTGATTTTTGAGAACTCTTGAGTTTAAGGATGGTGTGTTTTCAGCCTCAAAGAATTTTCCAACCACAGAGTGAGCCACCAGAAGAGGAGTGTCAGACCGTATTTCAGATTTCCTGTCTTTTGCACAGAGCTAGTCTGCATTGGCCATGTAGTGGTGTGCTCAGGCCGAGACTGGCTGACCAGCTCCCGGAGCCGGGGCCCGGGCAGGGCTGCCCGCTGGCTTGTGGGAGCTTAGACTGATCAGAAGTCACAAAGGGCAGGCACCGCAGAACCGTTTTGTTGGGACCTACCATGTTTGCCTGTATCATCGTTTCTTGTTTTTTGGGTCGCAAATTTTAAATTAGTTAACTGTGAGAAATCAGGTGATTTCCCCATAAGGGTCCAGATTTCCAGATTCTTTTGAAAATGGGGACCAACAGCTATGTTGGGCCTGTACTTCCCCATGGCACCTGTTGCTGGAATAGGTAGAGGCGGCCCCCTTATGTGGGCATGGACTATCGAAGTCAGCACGGCCTCCCCCACGCCAGGCTGGCTGAGACTGGAGGACCCTGTATCAGCTACATCCCAACCTCCATTTGCTCGTATTTCATTTCACAAAAAAGTGTTTGGTGGGCTGCGAGGCTACCGACACAGTCTGTGGTCCCAGCGAGGTCACCATCCAGGAAATGAGTGCACGATGCGTCATTATCTACCTTCTGGGGGGCAGGGGCAGCAGCAACTTTAGCTGCACAAAACAGCTCATCATCTAAAGTAGGGTTTTTCGGGGTGCCTGGGTGGCTCAATTGGTTAATCGTCTGCCTTCGGCTCAGGTCATGATTCCAGGGGCCTGGGATCGAGCCCCGCATCGGGCTCCCTGCCCATACGGCAGCCTGCTTCTCCCTCTGCTCCTCACCCTGCTCATGCTCAATCTCTCTCTCTCAAATAAATAAAAATCTTTAAAATAAAATAAAATAAGGCAGGGTTTTTCACCTCAGCACTGTTGACATTTGGGACCAGATAATTCATTGTAGGGGGTTGTCCTATGCTTTGTAGGGTTTTAGCTGCAAACTTGAGCCCCACCCCACTGGATGCCAATAGCACCTCCTTAGATGTCTCCAGATATTCCCAGTGTCCCCTGGGGAGCAAAATTGCCCCAGCTGGGAATCATGGATCTAAAGGTTTGTGGTGGTTAATGGACAAAATGCCATTCAGAATTTCAGCAAGATCTTAGAAACCTGCTTATCTCCTAAATTGGAGGTTTGGTCAGCTTGCTCACGTGTCAGGTCCTCGGCAGCCCCTCCCACCCTCTCTGCCTACAGCCCCATCAGCTCGCACCACGCTGAGTGACAGGTGGGTGTGCACACCCCATCTACCCGCCGCTGTGAGCTCCTCCAGGAGGGGAACCATAGTCCTGCCCCTGTGCGTCTTTCCACCTAGGCCTAAGGGCTGAATAAATGCGTGGCCAGCCTTCTAACTCCTGTATGCAAGAAAAATTATAAACCTAAGTACCGATGTTGGTCAACTTTTAAAGTCTTTTTTTTTTTAAGATTTTATTTATTTATTTTGACAGAGACAGAGAGAGAGAGAGAGGGAACACAAGCAGGGGGAGTGGGAGAGGGAGAAGCAGGCTTCCCGCTGAGCAGGGAGCCCGATGTGGGGCTCAATCCCAGGACACTGGGATGAAGACCTGAGCTGAAGGCAGACACTTAACGACTGAGCCACCCAGGCGCCCCTTAAAGTCTTTTCTTAAAAGCAACTGCTCTTGGGACGCCTGGGTGGCTCAGTCGTTAAGCATCTGCCTTCGGCTCAGGTCATGATCTCAGGGTCCTGGGATCGAGTCCCACATTGGGCTCGTTGCTCAGTGAGGAGCCTGCTTCTCCCTCTCCCTCTGCTGCTCCCCCTGCTTGTGCTCTCTCTCTCTCTGACAAATAAATAAAAATCTTAAAAAAAAAAAAATAGCAATGAGACTGTAACAGCTATCATTCGATGGGTTTAAAAAAAAAAAAAAAAGCAACTGCTCTTGTCCAGCAAATCATCTTGTTTTTAATTACAAAAACAATCTACTGCAAGCCCCAAATTTAAATATCCAGATTAATATTTAATTATTCCCTTTTAATTAAGAGTTTTATGGTATATATAGATATGAATTCCCTCTAAACCAAAATTTCAACAAAGGGGATCCAACACATACAGAAGAAAAAATTCTGAACTGTGAGCAGTGTCCCTGTTGAGTAGAATTAGTTGTGGGTGCCCCTTCTTTGAATCCTTTTTAGACCAGGAGAGACTCTCTTCTCTTTGTAATAGTTTAGGTACAAGAAGAGAAAACAAATAACCAAAACACAACCTCTTTGTTCTGAGGATTCTGTGATCACTTATCGCCTTTGCCAATCATTCGCGGAGCCTGCCATTGATCATGGGTTACCATCCTGCTCGATCTTAGCATAAACCTCACTAACACCAGCAGTCTTTAGAAAGTGGTCTCATACCATCTTTGAGTAACGATGTCTTATGCCTTTAAGTTTAGGACACTGCGTGGAGACTGCCCAAACCCCTTTATCGGAAGAGTGAATTTAGGGGTGAAGGAAGTACTCCCCCCAGGTGCACCCCAGAGTGCAGCTAAGATCACAGTGACTGAAATTTATCAGTTTTCCACTTGAGTTAAAAACTCTAAAATGCTAAGAAGGAAGGGCTTTCTAAATAACTATCACTCATTACCTCTCAACACAGAGTAATTTATCAGAATATGAACTGTCCCTCAGCAAGTCTCCAAGGGAATGGTACATTAGGCAGATATCTTTTGGTGAGGTAAAGAGAAAAAGCCAAAATCGTTTGGATGTTGGATGTAGCTGATACAGGGTCCTCCAGTCTCAGCCAGCCTGGCGTGGGGGAGGCCGTGCTGACTTCGATAGTCCATGCCCACATGGATTTGAATATAGATGGGAGGAGGGGGAGCCAGGATAAGAATTCCTCGTCATTCGTTGAGAAAATACGTATTGGGTGCTATGTGAAGTACTGGGCCTCCAGCCGGAACAGGGTGCAGGGTCTGCCCCCCGTCTCATGGGGTCAGTAGGTGCTTGAATAAGCACGGCAGTGAATGTGAAATTGAGTTGGGGCCTCTTCCGATGGGAGGACAGAGAAGGATTGGAGGGGTGCTGCGAATAACCTCCCCCTCCCCGGAAGAGAAGCTCGTGCTGAATCTTTCTGGCTGGGGGTGCTCTCCACCCTGGTGTGTGTGCCTGAGTTGCTTGAAGCGTGTTCACTTCAGGAATGATGGGGATTACGAGATTTGCAAACAGTTCAGTGAGGCTCTGACTTAAATAGTTGTAATGCTATTAAGATTCCTGCACCCTGTGTCAGCTTCTCCTGCTGTTTAGAAAACAACATCAAAGCTCACCTCCCTGGCTCTCTTACCAGTAAACTGAACCGAGGTTTGTTTCCTTTCGGAGCCTTCACTAAGCTGCTTTGGTGTTTCATGCAATAGCTAAGCCCAACGGATGAGATGCAAGGTTATTACACTTGGGCATTGTTCTAAAGCTGTCGGGGGAGAAGGGGCAACGAGCCAGCCCATGGCCTGTTCTTCTCCCTGGTGACTAAGGAGGATTACTGGAAGCTGTAGAAATGACTGAGCCCCCGGTGATGTTGCAGAAATAAGCCCCTCCCCAGCCCAAGGGCCTTACAGCCTTTACGCCAGGTCACCGTGACTCCGCACTTGCCCCGGGGTGTTTAAGAAGATGGGTGTGGGGCGCCTGGGTGGCTCAGTTGGTTAAGCGACTGCCTTCGGCTCAGCTCATGGTCCTGGAGTCCCTGGATCGAGTCCCGCATCGGGCTCCCTGCTCGGCGGGGAGTCTGCTTCTTCCTCTGACCCTCCTCCCTCTCATGTGCTCTCTGTCTCTCATTCTCTCTGTCTCAAATAAATAAAAATAAAAATCTTTAAATAAAAAAAAAAAGAAGATGGGTGTGTGTGTGTGTGTGTGTGTGTGTGTTCCTTAAGGGATGTTGAAAGGAACAGTAGATCTGCATAAAAGGAGAAGACGCGCTGAGCCTCTGTACTGGAAGAATGGCTTCCCCTTCACAGTGACTTCTTCATCCAAAGAGAAGAGGTGATAGGGCCCTCCCACGTCCCGGAACTAGACCAGGGCCCAGCACAAATGGGTCGTGTTTCCAAATATGGTCTTTTGGAACTTGGACCCCGGTTTCTCACAGAAACAATCCTGTAAACGATGATAATAGATCTAGGAAGGTCCTCAGACATTTGCTTCGCTTATAACGTAGATACTAACTTCAGTTACGTTATTATGAGTTAAATGTGCGTTCGAGATAATTTATCGGCTTCTTGTCACTATTTCTAATATTTCTGTACAAAGAAGAAAGTACATTCCAACTTGGAGCTTCAGACATGAGGCACACATCCCCCTCACGCCCCTCGCCTTTCCATCCCAGCTATTCCCCTGCTTGGCGAGTGCCTCTGCTCTCCCCCGGAGCCTTCCGTCACAGGGACAGGAGAGGATGGTAGTTTGGGGCTTTTCACTGCTCTCTAGGGTTGACGGGGGTAAGGGCGTAGATCTGGTTTCTGGCGCTCTAGAAAGCAGAACTGGGACTCACAGGTGAGGTTGTAAGAAGCAGCTGCTGGGTCAGTCTGAGGAAGGACTTCCCCCTGGAGGGAGAAGCCATTTGCCCAGGGTCTTGCATGAGTAAGACGCCCATCGAGGGGGGCTTGAACCCCGTGGCCGGCTGCTCAACAGCGGGCCGTGCCCCTCATGTGAAGTCTTCGAGCAGAGTCGGGAGGCCAGCTCTCAGGGTGGGCGGCGGTCAGCTAGTCAACAGG